CCGAGCACCGCTCAAACACCTCGGTGCGCCGCCGCCGCCGCCGCCGCCGCCGCCGCCGCCGCCGCCGCCGCCGCCGCCGCCCGCGTCAAATCGCGCCGACCGCTCCGCCGCCGACGCCGCCGGCTGCCGGTGCCCCGCAGGTGTGCCTCGTGCTCAAGGAGCCGGCGGGCGGCGCGATGGCCAAGGGGAAGGTGGACGCGCTGCGCAAGCTGCTCGAGGAGGAGCGTGTGGCGTACGACATCGGCGCCTACCGCGACGCGCCGGCCGGGCTGCGCATTTGGTGCGGCGCGACGGTCGAACAGGCCGAGGCGCAGCGCCTGCGCCGGCCAGCGCACGCACCCCGTTACTGGGCGCTCCGTTTGGTGCGTAGGACGACCTCCGCGTCCTCACCCTCTGGCTCAAGTGGGCGTATCAGCAGGTGCAGGCGGCGCAATAAGTGGCGTGGCGGGAGCCCCTCCGCGTTTGCTCCAGTGCCGCCGCCTCAGGGTCCACCTCTGTGTTTATCTCGATTACGCTTTATCCGCCACGCCGCGCGAGGCCGCGCGCACGTTCGCCCATCATCGCCAGCGTTGCGTTTCCCCCCCTACTTCGGAGAGGCCCTTTGGCTTTGCATGCGCCGGGAAATAATATTTTGGTTTGCATGCAATGGTGTGGAGGCGCTGAGGGTGTGAGGCGCTGCGTGCGGCTCCGGCTCAGGTCGCGGGGCATAGCTCGGGTGTAAACGGGGTCTGGGGCGGATGCCCCAGCGGCCCGCCGCAGGCGCCGCCGGAGGCCCTGGCCCGCCGCAGGCGCCGATTTTTTGGCGTTTTTGCTCAAATTTGAGATATTTCTCATCAAATTCTCATCAAAATCGAGCTCGCTACGAGCTCTCTAACTGCAGGACAGCATCTCCTCGTTGAGCCCAGCGGCGCCCGTATCGCCCACGCCCACATTCTTCTTCTTCTTCTTGCCCTTCTTGCCCTTGGCCCTTGCTGCACTTAGCCGCTCAACCTCCGCCAGCAGCGGCTCCTTGGCATGCCGCGCATTCTCCATCTGCTTTGCTTCCCACGCTGCCGCTTCCTCTAAAGCAGCGCCGCCACTAAGCGGCACAACCAAGTTCTCGCACTGTTTGCATGAGCATGTGTCTTGCTTGGCGCGGCGCACAATCCGCGCGCGGCGAGTGAGGTGCGTGAGAGCAGAAGACTCGCAGGTCGGATGGGCGGTGACGCCGTCGAGCGACGGCGCAAAGGTCAATCGCTGCTGCTGCGCAACGAGAGCGGCGACACGAGGCTGCTGGCAGCTGGCAGAGCGAATCGCGATTCCGGCGGCCGCCGTCAGCCCGCCGACACCGACGGCCGAGCTGAGGTCAAACTCCGCCACAGGTCGGACCATCCGTGCGTCAGCCATGGGACGAGACGTCTGTGTGCAGACAGCCCGCCACCCGGGCGATAGAACATGCCAGCTGCTTGCAGGGCTCTCGTGGCCCGTGGTGAATAGGGCGGGCTGCGGCGGGCGCATAAACTATTCACAGCTTATGAACACCGGGAAAACTAAAGTCTGCAGAAGAGTTCGAGTGGTCTTCGTGCTCAGAAGGATCAAGAGAGCTCTATTCACACCCTTTGTGCGTTGAAGACCACAGGCAATGCCCGTTTTCACCCAACCGACGAGTCGCTGGGCCCTCTGACCTGAGCCGCAGCCTCGGCGTAGACCGCGCGCGGCGCGCAGCGCGCTCGGTGTTTGCAGACCGCCCTGGCGGACTCGTTTACACTTCCAAGCTCAAGCCAGGCGCCGCAGGCCATAAAAGAGGAGCGCAGATTAAAATGGCGCCGCAGGCTCCCCCCGGGCCGTCCGCGCAGAGAACCTTTGTCTAAAAACAAAACAAGAAAATCGATGAGACACCACTAGGGGCTGGGGGGCTCCGATCTCCATCTCTCCAGTACTCTCCAATCTCCAGCGTCGCTACATCTTAGGCCGGATCCAGTCAGATCTCCGATCTCCATCTTCAATCTCCAATCTCCAACGTCGTCATCTTAGGCCGGATTCAGTCAGATCTCCGATCTCCATCTCCAATCTCCAATCTCCTATCTCGATTCGGGGGCCCGGGGGAGGAGGGGGGCTCAATCCTTCAGGGAGATGCGCTATGGATACATTCACAATGCAAAAGGATCTCCACCCTC